CGGCGAAAGCAAACGGAATCCGTCAAATCCGCTTCAAACCTTCATAGAAGGTGAGCAACCATCTAACGATTTTTCAATTTTTTTTCCATTTTGCAGGTACCTCAAGCAGATGAAGGGACGTGACAAGAATGGAAGCAATGAACGAAAGCAAAAGCTTCAAAGGGACAGTCATGGGCGCCGCATGCAAATAAGAAAAAGAGGAGAAAATTTTCACAGCAGGCACACACAGAAAGGGGTGCCGCAGGTGGGAGAAGAGGAAGTGAAAGGGTTTCAAAACCCTAAAAGCAGAAGCAGTCAGCAACCAAATTCCACGCCTCCCCCAATTTATTTGCTGTTTTTTTCTCCTTTTATTATTTTTATTTTTATTTTACTTTATAATGTTACAATTTAATTGTTAATATCATTTAGTAATTAAGTTAATAAAACCTTTTTCTTTTTTTAAATTAAAACCAATTTTAAAATTAAAATCTTTTTGGAATTAATTGAAACAATTTTTAAACTAAAATCTTTTATTTTAATTCATAATTATAATCATTTTTAAAATTTAATATAACTAAGTTTTTTTTTAAGTTTAGAAACGTAATTTAAAATTTAGGTTGAAATTTAATCTTTTAATAAAGATTTACAATTAACACTTTAAAATTAAAGTTTTACAAAATTATTTTGTAAATAAATTAATTACTAACATTTTCTAAAACATTAAAATTAATTTTTATTTTTAATTAATTACAAACTCTTTTTTAAAAAAATATTTTATAAATTTCTTTTTTTTTCACTTTTAATTTCTAGTTGAACCTTAAACTGAAAATTCTAATAAAATAAAAATTCTCAGCATTCCCGTTAATTGTCATTTCGCTGTTTCCAATTCATACTTGGCTTACTAACCCTTTATTGCTCCGTATTTTTTGCATTTTTACTTTATGGTTGTAATCTATGTGAGGACATCGTCGCTTTTGTATTTCATTATTATTCTTGCATTTTTGTTCAGATTTGTAATTTATGCGATGCTATCGTCGCTGTCGTTTTCAATTCTGTTATTCTTACACTTTCCCGTATTCACATTCTGCCACATAATTAACTTATCATCTGCATCATTTACCGTTGAACCCACCGAAGGATTAAGTCTAACAGTTTGACCGTCGAGTCAATAGCCTTAACCTTTGACCCATTCAAACCCTAAATTGCCTAGGCGTCCCGCCATGGATTGAAATACCCTTTACCCTTAACATTAGGTCAAGGAGTCGCCGCACTCCGTTTTAGGTTTCCCGCTGTGGAATACCTAGTTTACCCCTATTAATTCAATTCAACTTTTCAACGTAGAAATAGGAGTCGCCGCACTCCACGTAAGCGCTTCCTTAAGAACGCTTATTCCCCATTGAAACGCTTAAGCACTCGTCAAGAAGTTTCTCTTCCTCCCTTTCGAGTGGAACTATGATTACTCTAATTCCATCCCCTACTCAGGATACGTAGGCACAAGATGCGAATCTTGGCGAGTAAACTTAGGACTAACCCTTAGGTATTTTCTTTTCACCTTCTAACCCTTAGCAATATACCCTTAAGCAAACAATAAAGCAAAATAGTAAACTTTAAACAAAAGGTTCCTGTAGAGTACTACAGAAGTTTAGGGTGCTAATACCTTCCATAAACTTAACCAACCCCTTACCCAGGTCTCTCCCCGCATTGTTTACGATGCAAATATTAGGTTTTCCTTCTTTTGACCTTTTTTTTCGGATAAATCAAAGATCGGTTGTGAACTAAAGATGTGATTCAAACTAATTAATAGTTTGATATCCTATTCTCACCGCAACAGGAAACATATAGTGATTTCATACTATAAGTTGACTCACATAAAGAAAACAAAGTAATTATGTGACTTTAAAAGTATGGTTATGTTGATCTTATTTATTATGTTTTAAATGTAGCTGAAGAGTTGCAAGACTCTTAATCAAAGAGAATTAAAGAATGATTAAAGGAAATTAATGGTGAAATGCATTCATTGAGTAATAATCATACTTGTGAAGGCGCCTGAGAGAATGGGTTGGTTGGTTGCAAGTACATATTTAATAAGAACGAAGGTATTCCAGAGATCGAATAATCAATGTATAAAATAAGACTTGTGGCAAAGGATTTTACTCGTGCGAATAAGTTTGATTATAATGAAATATTTTCACCTATGATAAAGTATTATTCTATAAGGTTTCTTATGGCTATTCATTTGAATATAATATTAAATTGAAACAAATGGATGCTAAGACCGACTTCTTACATGTAGACCTTGAAGAGACAATTTTATATGAAGCATACTAGAGGTTTTGTAAATGAGGTGTATAAAGCATGTCGTTCGAACAATTCATTATATGGGTGGAAGCAAAGTCCAAGGCAATGAAATCGTCTATTTTTGTGAATTTATTTTAAAGCATGGCTTTATGAAAAATAATTATGATAGTCACGTATACATATTGAATGGGGATGAAGAAGTCATGTATACTTTGAATGAAGAATTTGAAATGAAAGATTTTAGTAAAGTTAAGAGAATCCTAGAATTTGATATCATGAGAACCCGCAAAAGGATTGTGGTGTTCTTATCTTAATCGGGGTTACTTGAAAAGAGTGGCAGAATAGTTTAGAATATTTGAAGTTAAAATTTCCAACACTCTTTTAAATCTTCACACTTAGATTTTGGTTAGGTAATGTCCTCATACTGAAGACGAAGGAGATTACTTTATATGCAAGTGGATTGGAAGCACTATGTATGGTATGGTTTGTAGTAGGCCGAACTTAATATACCATTAGCATAGTAAGTTAATTTGTAGAATACAAACGAGTTCATATGAAAGCTTTGAAGTGGGTGCTTAAGTATTTGAATTGTTCATTTAAGAGTGGTTAGAAGTATACAAAAACAACTCAATGTAAAGACTCTTTTGTTAAATATGTAGAAGTGAACTATGTTAAAATAAATGAATGCTAGAAAATCTTTGTCAGGTTTTAGATTTACATAATTCAAGACACCTATTAATTAAAAGGCAAAATAACAATGTCTTGTAGTAATATTTACAACTCAAGCGAAGTGCATTTCCCTAGTGAATAAGAGGTATAATTGATGGGTAAGGAATCACTTAAGAATGTGTAAAAATACTTTTTGATAGTTAAAATAAAATTTATTTGACTGATTATATTGCACATCAAGGATAAAGCATGTTGACATTTTTTGCACTTCATCAAATATATGATTTAGTCAAAGGAGATTGAGCTTATAAGAAATTCGATAGATGTGTTTACCAAATGATTACCTAGGTCAAGGTTTAAACATTATTACACTTGATCCATTTTGTTGAAAAGTTATCCAAGCATGGAAAGAGTGATAAGATGGTCGACGGATAACTTGACATCGATAGATGTGAAGTGTGCATAAAAAACTCAACAAATGAAGTAATTTGCTACTCCTCAATAATGAGAGGCGTCTAACATGGCCGCGAGGTGGGTGAACAATGGAAAATGAAGTTTTTCGCTATTGACTCACATGTAAGACACGCAAGGCAAACACATTGAAGTTTTTCGCTATTGACTCACATGTAAGACAAGTGTGTGTGCTATTGACTCACATGTAAGACAAGTGTGAACACACGCAAGGCAAACACATTGAAGTCTAGGCCAACTTTCTATCATTTTTACTAGGCTATGGAAGATTTTTAGAGAGAGGAGTTAGTGATACAGAGTGAACTTTTAAGGTTTTTTATTCTAAAAATTTAGATGATCTGATGTTGATAATTTAAGAATTTGAAAACATACATAAACATCTTGGAATAAATGATCTGTGTATTAAAAGGATGAGAGATCTAAATCTCAAATACGTATATTAAGAGAATGAAAGATAGGTAAAGAATATGAGATGAGTTTATGAACTTTGAGAGTTTTCTTTTTTTCTTTTTTCTTTTGCAAGTGAATTATTTTGGATAGATTTAAGTAAACAATTTGTGTGTTTCTTTATCTCGCTCTTGTGAAATTACTTTGAACTTAGGTTTGGCAGATGAATTTTATGTTTGAAACATATTAATGTTATTGCTTATGTTCTTTTTCCCACGCATCATGTTTTTTGGGTATGTTTGATCTTTGATTTCACAACATAATCAATTTGCCTAATTGTTATTCGCATACACTTTGTTTTAGTTTGATATCAAATGTGTTCTTGCAAGTACAACCTTGTCACTTGAGGAATGTTTATTTCAAAGCAATCATCTATTAGATACTTAACTCAGCAATTATTTAAAGTATATAGCAGACTCAATAATAAGAATGTAAACCGTATTGGGGAGGTTTTAGACAGAGAGTGGGGGATGACGAACCAAAACTCATAAGTTTCCTAGGAACGTAAGATCTATGTTTCTTTTTGTACAACTTATTTCCGATAAATTCTTGAGTCCTATTTTATTATGATAATTCATCTTTGGCTTTCTAATTTTTCACCTAGTCTGGTCTAGTTCTATCATCATCTTTTGTACTTCTATTAGTATTTGTTACCAACTTCACTTCTTTCCCATCATAATAAAAAAGTGATGTTTTTATTTTGTTAGAAACTTAACAATTTGATAGGTATAGACTGGATAATCAAATTTTTAAGTCGATAGAATCACAATGCTTAGTTTTCGTCATGTTTTAAAACAAATATCCATGCTACCTCCTATTATCAATAATTCATCAGTAGAATATGGAATCAGAATTCTCTTGGCAGCTTCAGAAACTTAAAATTCACAATTTTCCACTGCCAAGTAGCAAAAACATGATATTAAAAAACGATAAATGATAAACGGCCAAGTAACGTTAAATTCTTGGATAAAAATTCACTGAAAATCTGTCACTACACTAATTCCTATTCCTCATGTTTGCAGACCACGCTGAAAAGATGATACATAAACAAGACCTTCCAAAACTAATTTGATAAATAAACAAAATAAGCCAAATTTCCCAAGCTCGCCGCATATAAATGTGCAAGCAACTCACTGCTATGACTTTATGAAATGAGGCACCAAAAGTTTGGTAATGGTGAAGCCATTGAAGGAGTCAACACCAAAGAGTTCTTTCAACTTTTCGTCGCTTATTATTTGCCTCTTGTCAGAAGGATCCTTCATAAAGCAATCAATCAGAAACTCAACTTGTTTTAGCTAGCATGTAAACATAACAAGTTCAAGCTATTTTTGCAGCTAAAGGGTAGTTAGCAATTAGCATTTCCATGCTTATTGGGGGGAAGTTGGTGATTGACAAATGCATTGGTCAGAAAAAGTGTACAAACTTTATGACAAGGAAAAAAAAACGGTCATGACAAAATTGACCAAAGAAAGAATCTGAATAACATTGGTTAAATCAACTTCAACTTTTTGGTCTCTTAATTATAGCTGGTCTTGTGATCTTCAGCAAATAAGAGGATTGGTTGGATTAGGTTGACAACTTAACATGAAATAAACGTGTGCATTTATTTTATGCTGTAATAATAGAAAAATGGAAAAAAGTGGAGGGTCAACAGCCAACGGTTGAATATTTAAACATGGGGCATGGTTATCCATTGCCAAGTTACATCATTACCCCTCCACACTTTCCAAATGCACCCCAACTGAATACCAAAATGAATATTACTTTAATGACTTTCAAGCTTTAAGCATGGAAATTACCACTAATGTGCAGAAACCATCAAAGCTTTATTTAAGCAATATATACGGCTGGAGGACAATTTAGAGAAATAACAAACCTGAAGGTTGTTTCTTTTTATATAATCCCACATCCTTTTAATGACTTCAGATCTTGATAATTCACTTTCTCCAAGGAACTTCGCAAGGGCATCAGATAGTTGAACTGGAGCAAGAATACCTTTTCTTCCTTTCGGCTCATCTGAATATGTTACATAGGTAGGGTATAGTCATGGGAAACATGGTATAAAAAATTGGCTATTTTAATTTGTAAACATGCAGACAGGTGCAGAAAAATTACAACCATGTACCATAAGTTTCACTAAAAAGATGGTTTGGCTGTGATCAGGTAAAAAAAACAGTATAAAACATAACCAAGTTAATTAATCATACCATCATCTTCTCTCTTTCGCTTCTGCTTTTCCTTTGGTGCCGACTTCACCTGGATAACTACATCAAGAGTTGAAGTTCAAACAATTTTTTTCTTCTTTCTATTCAATATTGTCAGCAAATAATTTACTTCAAGAATAAAACAGGGAACCAATTATTTGCAGGGTCGTCCAATAGGAGTTAACAAGTAGAATGGAAAAACATATATTAAATCAGTCGAGTATTTTTCAAAATGCAGTAGTATAATTATATCGAGCTTAGAAGACGATCCAAAAAACAACTACTTTGATAAGGAATCTCAAAGAAAAATTCAGAATTTCATGATATTAGAACCCCTACAATCACATGAGGATCACCTGGAGGAATTTAAAAAAAGGATTAGGGGTCTTGCCTAAAAACTTACAATGGAAACTAACAATAGAAACGAATATCCAATGTCTCATTTTGAAATAAGAAAAAATAGTAAGGAAGGAAAAGGTTTGTAGGAGCATACCATCATCTGAGTCCAGTGGCCAGATATGCTTTGCCAATACTTTATTCATTTGGAACATATTGATGGAATTGACACCGAAAAGAGCACGCAGTGGTTCATCACAATTGATTTTTCGCCTATTGTCTGGGTCTTGCAAATTTTTCTCCCTAATATAGGCCCACAGTTGCTTAACAACCTAAGGTCACCATTATAGATAGATGCTATAAGGCCAGAATCATAATCACATCATGTCCTCACTTTTAAAGAAATTCTGGATATTAACAGTCAGTATCGGAACAGCCTACATCTACACACTTTTTCACCAAAAAAAGCAGGAAAGAAAAGATTATACCTCAGACCTAGACATCTCTGGTGCTCCAAGGCATTTCTGAAGTTGTGGAGACAGGCTACAAATTTTAGAAAAACCGCCACCACCTTTTTTCTTTACTACCTCATCACCTGACTTGTTAGATCTGAAGCACAAGAAGAAACAGAAGCTTTTAAAACAAGGGTACCTTTCTGCAAATGTTTTCCACTTCAATTTTTTAAGGTAAAAAAGGGTTAAAGATGAAGAGGTTAAACACTTTTTATCCTGAATGTATGAAGGTCATTTTGTGTTCAAGGAAGTCATATGGAAACAAACAAAATCAAATTTCAGCCAAATATGAAGTTCAATTAGCAGTATAAGCAGTTGCAATAAATTATTCTTAGCATTTTTGCTTTGTCTTTTTTTAGTTTTCTTCAAGCAATAAATTTTAACACGAGGCATTATAAGAAACAAAATCTTAACACTTGCTGTCAAAAGTTTTCATTGTGTGCCTTGGAAAATGGTTTACTCTTGAGGTCCACAATAATGTAAGTCTATATATTTTGTAGTTTTGAACTAAAGACAGATATGGTTTGTGGTCAGGGTAAAGTTGCATCAGCCTTCAGAACATATTTTCCTAGCAAAATCTTGGGAGATCAACAGTGTATAAACATAATGACAAATATAGGAAAAAGAATTACATGATGTTTTCTTTATTTATTGTTTGAAGCAGGAAAGGAGTTTAACTTGGAGTTCTACAACTTAAAAAGGTCACATGAGGAACATTTCTCCTGAAAGCAATTATGCGAGTGCATAAGTATCAACATTTCACTTCAAGAATCTAACCATAGCAATGATTAGCTAAACCAAACTAACTTACATATGTTGAGTGAAATAGATTGGAATATCCAATTTTGTGATCGAATGTTTCCAAGGAATTTCTTGGAAACATAATTTACAGCAATCTAAAGATTAATTTTGCTTAAGCCTCAAAACTGGTTCACCAAATGTTCTACACTGGTGGAAACTAGTCAAATGACAGATAGAAAAAGACCCACTTCTCATTCCCACCATTGTGAAATAGATTTGCTAAATTACTAATTCGGCAGATGAGTGATTAACAGGTATAAGAAAATATGCTACTAATACAATCTTAACAAGTATCGAGGCCAGAGAGGCCATAAAAAATAATTTTTGATTTGTTATTGTCTTTACCTAAGGAGAAGGCATTCGTTACATAGCAATAACAAGATTAAATAATTAGGTCAAGCAAAGAATAAGATGAAAATGCATTAAAAAAACCTAAAATCTAACACTTTTGCTGGTGTAAAAAGCTTTAAAATGTACACTTTTTGTTGATGAAAACCTCCAAAGCAAGTAACCACATCACTAACTTCAAAAGCACCCAAATTCTACACAAACTACCAATGGACCCCAATCACAAAACAAAGCCATGTGCTTTTGTTAATAACTCGTTAGCATTAAATCAATAGCATTAGAACAATCTCATTCAAACAATGGCGAATCACAACTATATAAAAACATTCAAAAACAAAATTAGGTAATGATGAAAAATGCCAAAGAAACTATAAGAATAAATCCGTAACTGCTAAACACATTTTCTTGTATCATCAATGCAGAATCAAGTAAATGAATAAATAAATTGAAAGAAAATCAAATGCATTTTTTTTTTGTTTTTTTCTTCAATCAAAACGAAATTGAAGGAACAATCAACAAATAGAAACTAACTAACCGTTTTTTACTCTTCTTGTTCTTCTTCTTCCCCTTCTTCTCACTTCTGGTTCGCTTGGGTTTTTCTTCCGCCTCTTCCTCATTATCATCCTCTTCTTCAACTTCTTTTTCTTCTTTGGTTTCTTCCTTTGAACCAGAACCTTGGCTTGGTTCTGGTTTATCCGCATCTTCTGCTACGTCGTCGTTTTCTGGTTCATCTTCTTGTTGTTGGTTAACGCTCTGAAGAAACGAGTCTACCTGCTCTCTAATGAATGCTTTTCGATTAGACAAATCGATTCCGAAATCGGTCTCTAACTGACGGCGGACGGTGGAGGTTGTGGTGGTGTTGAGGTCGGAGCTACGGAGGAACTCGCGGATGCGGTCGATGAGTTCCGATTCGGATACCATATCGAACGAGTTGGGTTTCTTTGACTCAGTGTTGAAGGAGAAAGCGGTAAGAAGAGACTTCAGACTAGGGACAAAGATGGAAATAAAAAATTGTAAGGTTTTCTTTCGCCAGTTTCTCGTTAAGGAAAAGTAGGAGGAATACAGTTGCAAATTCTAAGTGCCCCATTTGTACTTTCTTGTCTTGTGTTTGCGAATACTATTTTTTTGTTTTCTCTATTTTGCCCCTGTGCATGTATATTGGAATTTGGAATGAAATTTTATCTTTTTATTTTATTTTATTAAATTCGATTTTTCTTGGCGATAAAAATGGTATTTTGTTTATTGAATTAGAGAATTAATAACGTTTTGATTGGTGCGTTTTTTGAATGATGAGAGAATATTCTTTTGATAATAGTAATAATAATTAATTAATATATTTGCGTAGACGAGAAAGGAAAACTGACCTCAAAATTTTGGATAAGCACGAAATGGATGTATTAGGATTGAGGCTTTAGAAGGTGGGTCACGTGCATGAAGTTGGGCTTTCATTACTGAGTCACGTTTGGAGTGGGCTTATGTTTTCAAATGAATTATTGGAGGAAATAATGTCATTATAAGAGTTTAAAAAATTTAAAATTCTTTTTTAGATTTTAAAAATAGATTTTTGGATGCACCCTTCTCTTCAATGAAAATGTTAAAACTGAGCTACATCTAATATATTTTTTAAAATTTAATCTGACGATACATCTCTGAAATAATTCAATATACATATCATGTATCCTTTGCTAAAACGTCCTTTTTTTATCATTGATTATTTCGAAGATGCATCTTCTTCCTCACACCAAACAGAATCTGAAGATGCATCTTCGTAATCAAATCAGACATTAGTTTAAATTTGTTTTAGTGAGGCTAGATGAAATTGACAAATAGTAAAGATATATTATGATGAATTAAACCATCCAACCGATATGCAGAAAATGACACATAAAATAATAACTCCAAAGTACACAATCAAGTCGAAATAAGTCAATAAAATACAGAAAAATAAATTCATAGTATAAATTTATACTATAAACTACTGTGTATGATGGACTCAGACTCGACTATGTATGACGGGCTCAAACTCAAGACCCTTGTTCCTACACTGCCTCCTATATTGTCGTGTCTCCGCTATCATGGCGTCTACAACGTCTCTGGCCTCATAGCCATCTGGAGAGATTTTGTTGTCAATACATGTTTACCTAATCTCCATAATACGACAACATCTAGGCAACACATCAACAACATGGTTTGTCCTAACTTGCTCATCCTCTAGTATCTTTTGATGAGCTTGCCTCGGTGGATCTCTTGGAGCATCTCGTATCATATAAGGATGTGACACTTTAAAGAACCATCAGATGTAATCGTCTACGTAGCTCCAATCGCTCTCAGATATGGTACTCGCACATCATCTGGTACTAGATGATTAAGATAATCATCAAACATAACATTCATATCTTTATGTGTCATAACGAGAGGAGCAAACGTAGAAGGGTCTCTGAGAATATACTACATGTAGTTGAATTATCGTGTGATGCGCTCAAATAGATGAGGATACGTCAGATGTGAATCGCAATCTAACTATCCCGAGTATAAGATTATGTTATCAAATGGACGCGTTTCACGGTGATCTACGTACATATGTAAGTGTATATCCTTTGCTACCAAGTGATCAATATATACTCTGAACGATTTTGTTGCCTGGTTCCCTCTGAACAAGGTAAATGTAAAATAACATGGCATATATTCGGTATAAATCGGCACACATAACCAACCAGGTATGTGTGGAAAGTGCTGGAAGATCCAAGCCTGAAAAATGTTGGAACACATGAATCATTAGTAATGGTGTTGCTAAAGTGTTACCAAAATGACACACAAACACTAAAAGACCGAGAAATATTACTGTCAATAGTGTGATGTTGCATGTCACATGTTTCGTCTTCCACATACATCATTTAGATAACTTGGAGTAAAAGTAGACCAAACAAGCGATATATGACATCCACATAAGTGGAACTTTTGTCTACAAAAATGGAAATGCAAATCAAATATAATAGGTATGCTCTCATAGTGTATATTCAATGTTGTGCGACATGCTCTTCATCACCAGCAGCCTTTCGTGCTCTAAGTAGCTTATATGTATACACCTTCTCTAGGTATCAAAACCCAACATGAGCCCCTCGTGTGGTTTCAAGCTCCTAAATGACAGCCTCTAATTCAACTCTCAAATAGTCTACCATCATCTCAAGTGCGTCATCTTTGTTAATGTACATATGATCTAAGGGTTTCCCTTAATTGGAAGATGCAAAAGACACGAGACATCGTCTAGTGTGATATACATATCACCATATAGAAGATGAAATAATGATGCATCAGTGTGCCATCTCTCTACAAACGCATAAAGCATATCATGGTTAACTGTAAAATAATTGATCTTCCACATGTCTCTCATCCTAGATAGCTACTAAACATATTGAAACCATTGCTCATTAGGCTGTTGTAGATCAATAATCTTCTATCCATGGTGGATGAATTTTAGAGCATTACAGTCGTGCAAAAAAAAAAATCATCATCATAAAATTTCAATATTACAACAAACATGATTTAAAAAGAATGAATTCAACTAAATTTTACCCTCTATCCCAGATATGTCTAACAATATGGTCCAGGTTAATAGGCAACAGTGACAAGTCTCACGGGTCTCCTCCAAACCCTTGTGGTGTCTACGGTATCTCTGGTGCCTCTGGTGCCTCCTGGGCCAGGGGTGCCTCAAGTTCCTAGGATGCCTCAGGTACCTCTAGTGCATGAGGTACCTCTGATGATTGGGGTAACTCTACTACATCAGATGCTTGAATAGGTGAAACCTGGCGTCTATGGGAAGATGAAGGCAGAGATGCATGAGTAGGTGACATTCGTGTCCTACGGGAAGAATGATACTTCATCTCAAGCCTGCAAGTATGGTACTTCATTTCCTGAACTCCCTGTTCAGGACTTCATGCTCAACAACACATTTGACTTCTCTATCATTGATTCAAGTGTATTTAAAATCTTGCTACACTCGACAACAAATGCACCAAGGTCTTTAATCCTTTTATTAGCATAGCTAAACAGAGAAATCTTTGGGTTTCTTTCATGTTAAGATTCTGGAATCAAAACATTTTTAAGAAGACCCACGCCTTCTCCTTTTCTTACTCCATAGAACATGAAAGCGGACAAAGTTATGTTAAGACTCATTGTCAAGAAATCTTGAAGCGCCATAACTTACCCATTTTAAGGTTCCATGGAAATCCTTTTAGCATGAGCAGATAGATTTCTTTCCAATGTCTCAACATTTTTCTCATAGAAGATTTCAATTCTTCTCAAAGAAAAACAAATTGTTTCTCAACAACCTCATTAGATTCAGAGTCAGAACCTAGCTAGGATTTAAAATCAGAGAGTTTGTCAACCATAGGTGCAAGGTTAACTACATCATCTTCTATGTCTGAATATGTCCTTTTGTAATTTAGGACAAATGATTAGGGAATTGGAACCTTTGAAGTTAAAAATTCTAGCAGAGAAGTTGTTGAAACCTCTTGATGATATAATTCATTTCCTTATCATCAGAGTCCCCATTAGAATCTTCTCCATCATAAGCTTCTTCAATTTTTTCTTACACATGAGGATCTGGAAGTTTTTAGCACTAGATCTTTCAGCATTAGACCTCAAGTCAGAAGATTTGGGTTTCAACACGGATTCATCATCATCAGTTCCATTTCAAGGATTTGAAGGCTACATATAAACCTTTTAAGGTCTAAAGTATTCAGGTCTTTGGCATCCTGAATAACTGTAACCTTAAAGTTGTATCTTGCAAGAAAATTCCTCAAGATCTATTACCAAGCCAACACCATTGATCTTATAGTCAATGTTATCTTCAGTGTTGTCCCATAACTTATCATCACAAACAATAATGTGAGTGGTCATCTTGCTCTAAGTAGATTAAGATTAAACCAAAATTTTTGCAACAAGCACATTTTCCCCACGAGTCAGTCTTAAGGATTAAAGAATCCTTTCATACTCACAAAGTAAATAACTTACAGTATAAATAGTTTCTTGATTTCTTTAATAAGTACACTTGCCTCACAAGTCAGTCTTAAAGATTAAAAATCCTTTCATACTCACAAAAGAAGTGACTTAAAGTAGAAATAAGTATCTTAATCCACATAAATTTGAAAGAACTTCTTCTATGGTTGTTCCAGAGTTCCTCCAAGGTCATATGATTAAGTTCAAGCATTCAACACGTCCTTCTTAAGCTTATCTCTACTTCAATCAAACTGGAGCTCTTTACTGAGTAGTTGTTCTTACCGAATCTTTTTTGTTTCACTGTTAAATGCTAAAGCATAGTCGGGTATGAGGTGTCACAGTGAGATACCAGAGTGAGAACAACAGTGAAAAGTTTACTTCCTTTTTCTTAACTTTGCTTCAAAACATGAGGTGTCAACCTTAGATTCTGATGCAGGTAAGAGACTTACTCAAATCAGAATCTGACTTTAGAGTATGTCTGCACAAAGGAATATAAATACAAAAGTAAATAAATAGACACACAATATATCTTGGTTTCTCCCAAGTAAGAGTGGTTGAGTCCCCTTGCAGCACAAGAGCTTTTAACTATAATCAGACTGATTACAATTGCTTAAGTTAATAACTTAAGACTTCCTACTCAATCCCACAAAAAGAGACTTCTGCTCAAGTTCACAAGCATAAGACTTCCTTCCCTAAACCCCCCATTGAGGAATTTCTGCTCAAGCTTTCAAGCATGATACTTCTTGCTTAATCACACTGATTGAGACTTTCTACTCTGTCTACAAGCATGATTCATCAATGCCTAAACATCTAATTTAGGACTTTTTGCTCGATCATCAGAAAGACACTTTACTCCTAGCAAATAGGCAAGAGTCTTCATATTCGCATATTAGAGGAATTTGGTATTAACCTTGTGCTCATATATATATTTTTTGGATAAGCACATACGCAAAGGCTTACACTCTTAAGCATATTTGAGTTTATAGCTCCTGAGTGTGGAAGAATGATGTCTTCACTCTTCTTCTCTCCTTGCACATATATTCATCTTGTTGTGCCTTCCTATTTTGATGAACATATTCATGTATTCTATTTTCGAAATGTATGTGAACATGTTTCACTCTACTTTCACACACTTAACCTTTCTGGTTATATGATCTTTTAAAGTGTGTTTCTCTCAATTCATTTCAGTGAACTAGTATCACATCCATGTGAACACAATCACAAAATCTTCAACTCATATTCATTCTCTTGAGAGGTGGAGGTTCAGCTCAGAGATATCGTTCCTCATAACTTCACGAGTTCGGAACCTTAGAGATGTTCCAAGAACCTTATGAATATTTTCAATCTTCTTCCTTAAATAGATACTAAGAATAGACATGTTGAAGATTGAAACTACCATGGTATAGATATCCGTTGAAGCTACCATGATATAAGTAGTTGTTGAAGGTCTTTAGTTGATGGACAATATACTACGCTAAAAACTCAACTATCATAAAGACATTGAAAGTAGCAGAGCAGAGTTTTGAACTATTGGAGAGAGAAGATCCTGACAATACCATTATCATCAGATTTGACATAAAGTAGTGTATCATTGTCACACGATCTTCCTTAGATAACTTCTGACTGACGTTTTCTTGTAGACGTTGTTAACCTTATACTTTGCTTTCTGATTCCGAGGCTTTTTATAGAATTTTTTAAAGCATGATCATAAGCTAAAGTATGTCTTCATAACCTTGTTGGAATGAGACTTCAGTGTATTGATTTCATAGGTTATGAGTCTTACCTTCATCTGAGTCTTAATCATAACTAGTCTAGATAATCACTTGAAGTTTTGCTAACTTGATATAAACAAATTCCTTTGAAGCAGTGTCTTCAGAATTGCTGATGTAGCTTGTTTAGAAGATGTAAAGTCGTTCCTTATGACAGAGTCAGCTTTCTTCAAAAGGTTTCAGTCTTCAGAGCTGAGCTAATCTTCATATTCCACGTAAGCTTAGGTTCAACATCTGAAAGACTTTATTAATATCAAGGTTGATGTCTTTTGATCAAGCACACTCAAATAACCATTAGTAAATCCTATTATTCTTTCAATACTTTGTTATCATTAAAACCTTTTAAGGGAATAAACAAATCTTGTTCTAACAACATGAGCCCTAGAAGCTGACGCATCTGCATCAACCGGGCTAGAGGTAATACGAGCTTGTGATGGTTGACTATTTTCCCTTCAAATAGATCCATGTTGTACAATTCGGTCGTGCCTCAATCGGTCTTTCCTATAAACCATAATGCTTGTAAATAAATCACACAAGCGCTACACAATGAGTACAAACAAAAATTTCCAAAATAAAATGCTTTTGAATACTCTGGAGATGCATCCCTGGTTTATATTTTGGAATCAAAACGTTGAAAAATTTCGGAGATGCATCTACAAAATTTTATACAACTCTCGTTATGCTAAATGACGAAAATGCAGTCCCCAAAAATAGCAAAAATAGTACATTGATCAATAAAATTACCTATCAAACACGTTTCTCATTATGTATAAACTATCAAACATTTATAAACCATCTATTTCATAATCTAATCATCAATTTCTACAAATTTATACAAAAACTCAAAAAAGTTTAGAAAAAAAAGACTTACAAATTCTGAATTTACTTTGGTGTTGAGTGAGCTATTTGATGGACTTGATGTTGATGAAAGAAGATTTGAAGTTGGTTGAATGATTTTGAGAGAATGTGAGTTGAGAGCAGTGACTGATCCAAGACCCCAGCTCAAGGGGGTACAAAATATTTAATACAAATAAATTATTATAATTATATATATATAAAAGTAGAATATTAAAAAACTATTCTACTCAAATTATAATGCATTCAAAAAAATCACATGGATGTTCTATAATTGTCCTTTACGGGATTTCATATTTTGAAATCGTTGACTAATCGGTTCATTATCAATGTCCTTCAACACATCAATTTCAATATAAGACATCAAATAATCATTCATCCATTCGTCCCCCATTCGATTATGTAATCTAGTTTTCACAATCTTCATAGCATAAAAGGATCGTTTGACGGTTGTCGTGACAACAGGCAAAATCATTGTCAACTTCAAAAGTTGATAAACTAATGGATAAACAACATGCCTTCTAGTTTCAACCAACTTTTCTGAAAGTTCACCAACTCCTTTCAAAGATGCAAATTCAATACTGCTGCGCATATCAATGATATAAGTCTCAAGTTGATTATCAATAAATACCAAATTAGTTTGACAAAATTCTCGTGGATAAAACTTTGCAAATTCAACTAGTTTTTCCTTGTCAAAAGAAGAGAACAAATTTGTTGGATTTAAACAAGCCATGCAAATGAGCAATCGAATATTTGTCTCATTAAAACGATTGTTAAGTTCTTGAAGTTGCATGTTGTTGCACCCCAAATTTGTCATACTTTTACATGATTTCTAGTGCCACTTTATTTTGAATGAACAAAATGGCACAATTGGCAAGAGATTGAGTGTGAGTAGTTGTGAGTGTGAGGGGGAGAAGGAGACAAAAAGAAAAACGGCGGCCGTCAAGATCTGGAGGTTCAGAAGAGCTTCAAAACTCATCATCATCACCTCCATTTGAGAAAGAGGAAAAGAGATCCAAAGAAGTTCGTCGAGAACCGTTGCCGCCGGCGAAGAACAAGCGAAAGCATCACCAACCGGCAACTGAAATATAAGCTTTTCTGTTATCCCAATTAAAACCTCTTCCAAATAATTAAACCTCCATTTCATTTTTTAAACCATTTTTTTGTTCTAACTAAAAAAACCCTTTTTGTGAATTATAACTAAAACCAGTTTTTGATTATAACTACAGTAAGTAAAAACTTAAAACTTTTTCTTAATTAAAACACTAACCACTAGCAATTTTTTTAAAATAAATAAACAGTGTTTAAAACACTTTTATAGTTAAGTGAAAACATTTTTACTAACTTAAAATTAACCCACTCCTAAAATTAAAACCTTCTTCTTTTTTTTAAGTATTAAAATTAACATTTTTTTTTATGTTAAAATTAAGTTTTAAAGATCAAAAATTAAAACAGGTTAGAAAGGGTTAAAAGTTAAAACTTTTTTTTTTTAAAACTAGAACTTCCTTTAAAATTTTAAAACTAACATTCTTTTAAATTAAAACTAAAGAGTTTTTTTTTAAATGCAAACTTCTTCTTTTAAACAAAACTTATGATTAGAGCATTTTTTTAAGACTTTCTCTTTTAAAAATTAAAATTAAAACTTTTCTTTTTAAATTAAGATTAAAACTTTCTAAAGATAAAAAGTTAAAACTAAAGTTTTGTTTATTTAAAAATTAAAACCTTTTAAAATTAAGACTAAAATTTTAATATAAAAATTAACAAAACAATAATAAAAATTCTAAATTGCATTTTCGTGTTTCTTTTAATATAAATTGTGTTTACCATATTTCCGTCTAACTTTTCACTAATGTTCTATGTTTCTCTCCTCCGATTATACATAGATTCCGATTCATATTTATTTTAATTTATTTTGTTCCATGGATGTAATTTACGCGAGGCCATGGTCGCGGTTTTATTTTATCTTTCTTTTTTTTGGGAATTTATAATTTACGCGAGTGATCGTCGCGACGCTTTCTTTACTTTCTGCATTTTAATTTCTGCCATATAATATCTTGCCATGTTTGCATGTTTTACCGTTATTTCCCCTCCGAAGGAATTAGGTTTATCCGCTTGACCGCCGAGTCAATAATCCCAGTTTCAACAGCTTCTAAACCCTATTTAGCCTAGGCGTCCTGCCGTGGACGAAAATACCCTTTACCCTAGCATTAGGTCAAAGAGTCGTCGTACTCTGTTTAGGGTTTCCCGCCGTGGAATCTCTAATTTAACCCTAATTTCATTTAACAAATTCAACATAGAAATAGGAGTTTCCAAACTCCACGTAAGCGTGTCCTTAAGATACGTTTACTCCCCTCGAAACCTTGACCATAGTTAAGAAGTTTCTAACCTCCCTTTCGAGGGGAACTACAATTACTCTGATTCCATTCCCGTCAGAATATATAGGCACAAGATGTGACATCTTGCCGAGTAAACTTAGGACTAACCCTTAGGTCTTTTAGGTCACTCTGTCCCTTAGCTCAATATATATACCTAAATCAGATAATAAAATAAAAAAGCATACAATAAACAAAAGGTTCCTGTAGAGTACTACAGAAGTTTAGGATGCTAATACCTTCCCTAAGCTTAACCAACCCCTTACCTAGGTCTCTCCCCGCATTGTGTTTACGATGCAAAAATAGGTTTTTCCTCTTTTGACCTTTTCCTTCGGATAAATCAAAGAGCGGTTGTGAATTAAGAATTATGATTCAAACTAATTAATAGTTTGATATCTTATTTCCACCGCAACACATGTCAATAACAGTATAAAATAATTCAGTGCGATAATGTTTCTCTATTATGATAGACTCGACATTACTTCCACGCCTTGATCTTCCTGAAAAGTATATATCATCCAGGTTTGGAATGTGAGTGTCATGCATATTGCAAAATAAATTTACCTTGTCCACTAAAGATTTCCATCCATCATCTCTTAAAGCTTATAACCACTGCTTTGTGATGTTAACCAATTTCATAACATTGACGATATATTGATCTTTTTTTTGTAGTGCCTATGACAATTCATTGGAATTCCCAATATATTTTTCATTAAATGCAATGTTAGTGCAAAATCAAAAGTATTCATCAAAAGTATGATACCAATAGACCATTTGCTTCAGCCTTTTGTTCTCTTAGCAATGTTGAATATTTTTTCAAGATATCAAGAACATCCATTACAGAATCATACATCAATATCAAATTGGTTAAAGTAGAAAAATAAGAACTCCATCGAGTATCAGTGGCTCGTTTGAGATTTCTTTCTTGATTTAGACCTTACCCACTAACAATTCTCCTTTTCCCAATACTTCCCTAATATTCCCTATTTGTCTCTCAAGAAGCATGTCTTGTCGTTTGCAAGATCCCCATACAATATTTATTAAAGTAGACCCTAAGTTAAAAACACCACAAACTTGAAGATAGTCTTTGGCAATAGCAACCAATGTAAGTTGCAATTGATAAGCAAAACAATGTGCATAAAATACAGATGGATTTTCACTTAAGTTCAAACTTTTTAGACCACTGGATTCTCCTCGCAGTCTTTACGGGCAGCATCCTCAAGCTCCTTCTGCCTCTCCTCCTGGAGTTTCTTGACCTTCCCTTCCAGGGTCGTCACCACAGCCTGGGATTTCTTCAGCTCTAACTCCAGCGGGGAGCTCTACTCGGTATAAATCATGGCCATCTCCAGGACCCTCATTAAAGCAGAGGCATCCTAGGCAAGTGTAACACCTTTTTCTACCCCACAAAATAAAAGGCAAAGTATTCACATTTATTAGAGTAAAATATTAAATTCAATAAAAATCACCTCAAAGGGCGTACATTTCCCAATAAATCAAATATAAGTCAAAGCTCCGTAAACAACGGGTTTTCTCAAAAGATATCAAAAATTGCAGCGGAACTCAAAAAGGCATAATCCAAAGTTTTCCTTATACGGAAATATAAGCAAAATAACAAAATCAAATAAAATAAGGTTTGACTCAAAGACCCCAACCCGATGTTACACTATCAGAGCATGACCCTCTAAGTCAACCACCATGGCCAACAACCCAAAACTTCAAAAGCCCTCGACGGCATCCACGACTAAACCTGGTCATATGCACGTTACCCACGTGGAGACAATATTCAAACAGGCAGGGTGAGTAAAACGATTCATGATAATCAATGTAGGAAATCAACATATAAAATGGCATCATTTTCATATTCAACATCATCATATTCATCAAGGAATATCAAAGGCCACACCATCATAATTTACTCAAGATCATCTCATAAATGCAAATGCAACAAGACTTAATACATGTGGTACCAATCATCACAGCTCGACGGACACTGGGCCATCAATCCTCCATAGATCCCCATCAATAGGATCGATTCTACTCGAGAACCGAAGCACATCAAAATACCTCACATCCGCACAATGGGATTAAAGCCAAAGAAATCAAGGTCCTGAACCGAAGTCCGGATGCACATGAATGCATGATGCACACGTCAATAATCGTCCTCATAATAACATCATAGGTGCATCATCATTCATCATAATCATCATCATCAAAAATTATTTCATCATATAATCATCAAAACTTATAGAAATATCATCATAGTTCATCAATCATTACATCATAGGAATCATCATATAATCATGTACAAATTACGTAGAACTCACTGTCATACTCATATTAATTCGTTAAGGAAATCACAACATCAAAACATCAAGGCATCGTTGCACAAAGTCAGAATTCGCAAAACTCTGCTACATTTGCTAGCAAGTTCGCTGTGTGAGTTTGGGGCGAGTTTCTTCGTTGTGCGAAGGATTCTTCGCAGTGTGAGTTTAGGACGAGCTTCGTTCACTGTGCGAACACGCAATGACAGCAAAACACTGTTACGCACCAGAACCTAAAATCAACCCAAAAATCCCATGATTCACTTCCCCAATAACCCAAAAACATCCCTAAATTATACCTAAGGTCTTACGGCAATAAAGGCACAAAATCTACAACTTATTAGGCTAATCATGTATCATATTCACACTCTAAATCCCATAAATCCTTACAACTACACCACAATCATTAGAGTTCCTCATTATCAAATTTCCCTACAGGGTTAGACAAATGTCAAATCAGAACTTTGGCTACGAAGGCTTAATTTCCTTTAACCCAAATAAATCCCTACGGTTAAAATCTCAATAATAGATTTAGGCCACAAAGACCAAATTCCCTTTATCCCATAATCAGCCTCAAACCCTTTAAACCCTTAAATCGACCTTAAATACATTGAAATTACACATTGAAAACAATGAAAGCAATACTCCCCATACCTTAATTGTCGACTCTAAGCCTTCTCTAATCTTTTAGAAAACCTTTCGAAACTTTTGCCTCAAATCTCCTCCTCAGAGCTCTGGCCTCAATTCTTTTCACGGTCTAACAAAAATGAATCATAATCCAATCACAATTCCCTTTTTGTTAAACCTAACCTTGGGCCTATAAGTTAAGCTTTTCCAATATTACCCTCACTAACTCCTCCTCAATTGTCCAATTTGCCTTTAGTTAACTTATATTTATTTAAATTAATAATAATACTAATATATTCATATTATATACTATTATTTAAATAAATAACCCAAAATCCATAATTCTCAATATTCCACAACAACCACCGAAAATTACCAAAATGCGAATATTCTTATTTAAATAAATTAAATAAATATTCCAATTAAAATTTGGGGTGTTACAACTCTCCCCCACTTAAAAGAATTTTTGCCCT